AGTTTTTTTTTCCCGGTTCCTTTCTCTTATCTCACTACTAATCCTTTCCTTATGTATCGTTTCTACAAAATCAAGGACCTCGGCCGAATCGTCATGGATAATATCTTGTGGTAAAGAAGTTTTAGATGTTTCAGGCTCCGTTGAAGATTCAGGTTGGGTTGAGCTATATTCTATTTCAGGCAAGGGATCAGGGATAATACCTTTCTCCTCATCAGAATTGCTCTCGATAAGTGGCGAAATATCTTTTGTAGGAGATGCTTCCTGTTCATTAGTAATAACCTGGATTTGTTTCTGTTCCAATTTCGTGATTCTATCTTTAAGCTCGGTATTTTCTTCTGCTGTCTGTTCCAATTTGGCGATCCTAGCTTTGAGCTCAACATTCTCAGCTTCGCGTTTGGTGCTTTCTTCCGTAACCTGTTTTAAAAGCTCGGCATTCTTGGCTTCGAGCTCAGCCTTTTCAACTTCAAGCTCAGAAATTCGTTGTCTTAATGAATCAACCTCGGATTGCATGTTTAGTAGTAGTTTGTATATATCCAATTATTTATTTAAAATGTAAAACTAAAGTATCAAAATTTCGGCGACGGGCCGTCGTCAAAAAAAATATGAATCAAATGGGGTATCAAATCAAGACTAAATCACGAATAAAAACATTGCAGATCGTGCAATCTGATAATAATTAATAGGTTTAACGCGTGGAATACTTTATTAATTTTTTATTATACTTTTATAGTAAGACAATTATTCATATTATTTTTCAGAATGCAAATGTTAAACGTACTCGCTAATCAATAATTCAATAATCACGTTATAAAAACGTTTCATTAAATCTAAATCCCAATGTATAGTAAATAAAACTTTAATTTCACCTTTAATCATAGAACAATTGGCGAGGGCCAGAATGTCCTGATGGAGATGGTGAAGGTGGATCATCATAATCGTCGGAATCATCATGATCATGATACATGTGATGCACCACTGGATTTATGATGCGTGATTTTTTTCCCGTAGGTTTTTGCGGTGAACTCTTAGCATCACCTATATATCTTTTTAGTGTTGAAGATTGAAAGCGCATAATTGTATTTCGGCGATGTGACTTTTTGAATTCCTCGAGTACCTCAAGAGAATCATCTAAACCTCTCTGTATGAAAAAGAATAATGATCAGAATGGGATGTTCCAATACCTTCAATACAAAGGAATGAAGATCTTTCTTACCCTAAGATTTTGCAAAACCCTTAACGCGTGAACCAGTTCATAATGGTTATCCCAACTGATTGGAAGATAAAAGGCACCAATAAGAAACATTCGGTAAGTTTTTGCAACGGGCAAGTCCATGCCCCATATTTGTACTTCAAGACCTATACACAAGCAAAGACAATTTATTAACAAATGCAAAAATTAAGACTCAGCTTATCTATTAACTTACCATGTATATGGAAAAACCAAACACGTAAACGTCTCAGAATCTTATAGTCACCATGATTGTATTTCGTAATTATTTCATTAAGGAGATCACGGCATCCCCAATTTCCCTTTACGTGATCCTTTAAATAACGAGGTGTATCCTTGGTTAAGTATCCACCGGATAATTCAACCATGCCAATTTCTAGCCCTTTATCATTGGGAGACTGGAAAGAACCATCAACTTTCATGCCCAAGGGTTTATCATCATCAGGTTTGAGGTTACGTCGTAATAATCGCTGATTTGCACTAGCTTTAAGATAAATCTCACCTCTATTTTTTGAAAAAACTTGCATATTTAATATTATAAAGAATGAAAGTATTAATTTGATATTTTAATCAAAAAACATACGGCACGTATATAATGCGATTGGTTGAATTCACAAAATATTGTAGTACTGGATGAATCATAAGCGTTCCCAACAATGCTTCATTCTTATTTATACTATGGAAAGCCGATGTATTGTTGAATATGTTTTTTGCACTTCAAAATTAAAATAAATTAAAAAAATAAATTGAGAGAAATAAACAGTACTTCTACAAAACCTTTATACTTACAACCATAATAGGACATCCGTTACAAATGTCATTTCTATATTTTTCTCACGGTCAAATGTGACATTATAAAGACAATTTTTATACTCATTTAATGAATTCTGTTATTGATTAATAAAAAAAATATATAAATAACAATTTTCATTAAAATAAATGAGCATTTGTACTATTTGTACTTACAGTTTCTAATAGTACACTGAATAGATCTTCAACTTCAGTTGATAAATTGTAATGCGGATATTCAACACTTGAATTTAAATAATCCCAATCCTCTTGCTTAATCCATTCTGGCTTCCTGATTTTTGATCCAATGCGTATAATACCTAGACAAGACGGGCTACATACAAATTACACGGAATAATTTGTTAGATCAAGAGACATGAAGAGAAGAAATAAAGAAGATAAAACTTACTGCGATTTGTGTATATTTTTAGGGCCACGAATTATTTCATCAATAGATTTGCCAGAAGGCAATTTCCAAATGTTATCTGGACTGTCTTTATCAGGGTACTTTAAGTGACTTTGGGCTGGTATCCGTTTCTCTGATAATTCAATATTTGGATCGATATCGCAGTTACTATAATCTACATCATCGTTATCATAATCCAAATCATCGTCACAGTTTAAATCTGCCTCATTACATTCTGAATCTGTCCCATTATCATCTATATTTTCCGCTTTACCAATAGTTTTTGTTCGTTTTGGAACTTTATCACCCTAGGGATTAAAATATTCATTAGAAACAAAATCACAAAATAATAGATATATCGAAAAAGGTGCATACCTGTACTCCTTCCTGATTCCTTTTATTTGAGGACGGCTCCACAACGGAAAGTCTGGAATTGTTTACATTCCCGATCAACACATTTCCATCTCCTTTGATTGGCTGGTGGATGCGTATCTGACTACGCGAACGTTTCTCCTCCCATTCTTTTGCCTTTTTGCGATCAATTTGGGGATCCTTGCATGATTTGGAATTAGTATTAACTAGTATTCTTCCCATTCAACATTAATTTCTCATCCCACTGAAGCACATCGCAACCCAGAAAGTCACCTGTGCCCCAGTGGGTCCAGTGCTGGATCGGCCAGAAACCTTTGGCATCAGTAAGTCAACTGTGCGCCAGCACCAGTTTCGTGGCTCAGCGAAAAACCTTGAATGACCGGCGACCCAGAAAGCCTCCGTTCACGCCACTTTTTTTTAAATAAGATATAAAAGATTTTTACTTACCAATTTGTATCGATCGAGAAGTACTCTTGCACTTTTTTTCCTGCTACCTTGTTCCGAATCAGCGATCATTTCGAGGCTTTTTAGATAAAAATCTATTTTTATGCCAAACGGTTCTTCGTCGCACTCACTTAGAAAGTCGAGAATGCCCCAGTTTGCAGGATCTCGGTTAAAATATTCGTGTATGTAGCCGGGCATGATTATAAAAGTAAAGTTGGAACTTCAGAGTAAAAAATCTGACTAACGTCAATGTTTATATTTTTCAGACGTGACAAATGGAAATCAACGTGACACTGGAAAAAAAAACTCGAATTAGTGTAGTAATTATCTAAGTCACCTGACCAAAATTTTCAGCGACGGCCCGTCGTCGAAATCGTGTGATTTATCTTCTGACTATATGATTGAATGTTTGCCATGTCTCGTAGAGTTACCTTTAAGAAGCTTGTTTTTTATATAAAATGCGGATTATTCAAAAGCTCGAGTAAAATCACATGACTCCGTGAAAAAAATTCATGCACTTTTGCCAAGAAAATTATTCCGGAAAAATTATTGTTTATATACATCGGAATTACACACAAAAAATAGGGTCAAAGACCCATTACAAGGTAATAACACATGATACGTGATTCGAAGAATCGTCTAAAGACTTGTACGTTCCTCTAACCAAAAATCTTTATTAATAGCGGAGCTAGTGTCAGAGACACATAAAATATGTATATACGATAAAAATACAGGATAAAAACATATGATAAAAGATGATATAGGGCATTACCCATGCTTTGCATAATATATGGTAATTAATTATTTTCTCGTATAGGCGAAGATATAGTTGAACTTTTTTCCATAACCTTATTTGATCTAGTTAGTGGTGCATTACACAGTAAAGATATATTAACCAATAAAATATTCCGCATTATCAACAAGGTTTCAACGAATTTTGTAACGATAGTAGAATTTGATTGTTGTACAGGTATTTCCACATCACGAATATGATAATAACGGTGAATATCTGCCAAGTCTCTAGTAAGAACATTTAAACGTATTGTGCTACCCACTATTTGCACTCCAACAATGCCAAATTGGTCTCTATCAGGTGTACAACTCTTATGAACCCAATATAGACCATCATTACACTCACGCCACAATTTCACTTCATCATCTTTTTTCTTTTGTGGAGTGCAACTCAATCGTGAACACTCAGTGTATAAGAGTTCATATTTTTTTACACCATGTTTCATTATAAACATTATATCGGGTCGCCTACCTGATCGTCCTTCGCCTCTTCTATCTGCACTCGCACTACTCTGTTTTTCGGAACTGCTGACAAAAGTTGATTTTTCTAGAGGAAGATCTTTCAATGCTGCTCGAATAGTAGGTAATACTATATTATTCACATAAGTACCTTCACTCTGAAATCTTGCAAATTCAGGACTAAATGCTGGATTATTCCATGCATCTTGCCTAATACAAATAAAAAAATATTTCGTGAATTTTTCAGCAAAGACGGTGTGATCAAAATCTTGCAATATATCCTATACTTACAAAGTATCTAAAATTCTATTTGTGACTTCTGCAAGTTGATGTTCTGATTCTTTCCAGACCCCATTATGCATAATTCTTCGTGGTAATTCAACTGCGCGATTTTCATTAAAGGTCAACACAAATTCATTACACTTTCTTTGTATTATTGAGGGAAGAGATACTGGAGTCATTTGTCGTGCCAGTTCCATAAAGGAATATCGTAGGGTTGCTGATAATTGACGCACTAGTCCTGAATCGTCAGTAATAATCTGGTTTGCCAAAGGATCTTTCCACGTCAATTCAGAATTTTTTACTTTCTGTAAACTTGAAAATAATTTCTTATTAAGTGGTGTCGTTTTGTTATTGAGCTTCCCCTTTAATTTTTGTATATTATCTGCTATTTGATTCGAATTAAGGGGTTTTTCTTCGTTCGTTTTTACCGCCCCAATAGCACGTAAACTGGATACTGCTTTATAGGAAATTTCAAACTAACACAGATTTACAATTAATTAGTTTCCTATCGATATAAAAATACAACTTAAATTACGCATGCGTTGTCAGAATATAATCAAAGTCCATCTTTGCGTGGCCATCGCGTAGATAAAACTTTGTGTGATACATAAATAGCAATACAAAACAAACATAAGTCGACCTACAGCTTAATTACCCCTCACGCTATCGAGGATTTTTTCCTGTAGGTGGACTATGGGATATTTAAACTGCTATGTTTGATTCCTTAGAATAGTATCACTATCTGCGCACTCATCACTCAAATAAACTTTATATTTTTTCTAAAATTTATTGCCATACCTCTGGTAAAATTTCAAGAAGAATCATATAACGTAAAGACCCCCGTGTAATGTTATTATTGGCAAATAAAATAGCTTGCTCTATAATGTTTTTTAACTCATTTTTTTCTATCCACGGTTCGTCTTCTATGGCTTGGTATATAACAGATCCGGCGGTTATGTAATGCTCTTCAGTGTTAATCAAAAAGTTATAAATTTTAGTAGATAGATTAGTTATACCTGCCACCCAAATTCAAAATCCAAATGCCGAAATCCCAAATGCCGAAATCCCAAATCCCAAATCCCAAA